GTTTAATGCAATGCCAATCAAAATCCCAACGGCATTTCTTGTAGAAATAGAGAAAGCAATCATGAAATTCATATGGAAAAATAAAAGACCCAGAATAGCAAAAACAATGCTAAGCAGGAAGTGTGAATCAGGCGGTATAGCGATACCAGACTTCAAACTATACTACAGAGCAATAGTAACAAAAACAGCATGGTACTGGTACCAAAACAGGCGTGTGGACCAATGGTACAGAATAGAGGACACAGAAACCAATCCACAAAACTACAACTACCTTATATTTGATAAAGGGGCTAAAAGCATGCAATGGAGGAAGGATAGCATCTTCAACAAATGGTGCTGGGAAAACTGGAAATCCATATGCAACAAAATGAAACTGAATCCCTTTCTCTCGCCATGCACAAAAGTTAATTCAAAATGGATCAAGGAGCTTGATATCAAATCAGAGACACGCCGTCTGATAGAAGAAAAAGTTGGCTACGATCTACATACTGTGGGGTCAGGCTCTAAATTCCTCAATAGGACACCCATAGCACAAAAGTTAATAACTAGAATCAACAAATGGGACTTACTCAAACTAAAAAGTTTTTTCTCAGCTAAAGAAACAATAAGAGAGGTAAATAGAGAGCCTACATCCTGGGAACAAATCTTTACTCCCCACACTTCAGACAGAACCCTAATATCCAGAGTATACAAAGAACTCCAAAAATTAGACAATAAGATAACTAACAACCCAATCAACAAATGGGCCAAGGACCTGAACAGACACTTCTCAGAGGAGGACATACAATCAATCAACAAGTACATGAAAAAATGTTCACCATCTCTAGCAGTCAGAGAAATGCAAATCAAAACCACCCTAAGATACCATCTCACTCCAGTAAGATTGGCAGCCATTATGAAGTCAAACAACAACAAGTGCTGGCGAGGATGTGGGGAAAAGGGTACACTTGTACATTGCTGGTGGGACTGCAAATTGGTGCAGCCAATTTGGAAAGCAGTGTGGAGATTTCTTGGAAAGCTGGGAATGGAGCCACCATTTGACCCAGCTATTCCCCTTCTTGGTCTATTCCCTAAAGACCTAAAAAGAGCATGCTACAGGGACACTGCTACATCGATGTTCATAGCAGCTCAATTCACAATAGCAAGACTTTGGAACCAACCCAGATGCCCTTCAATAGACGAATGGATTAAAAAAATGTGGCATTTATACACAATGGAGTATTATACAGCACTAAAAAATGACAAAATCATAGAATTTGCAGGGAAATGGATGGCACTAGAGCAGATTATGCTAAGTGAAGCTAGCCAATCCCTAAAAAGCAAATGCCAAATGTCTCCTTTGATATAAGGAGAGTAACTAAGAACAGAGTAGGGACGAAGAGCATGAGAAGAAGATTAACATTAAACAGAGATGAGAGGTGGGAGGGAAAGGGAGAGAAAAGGGAAATTGCATGGAAATGGAAGGAGACCCTCAGGGTTATACAAAAGAACATACAAGAGGAAATGAGGGGAAAGGGAAAAATAATACAAGGGGGAGAAATGAAGGTCAATAGAGGGGGTAGAGAGAGAAGAGGGGTGGGAGGGGAGGGGAGGGGGGATAGTAGAGGATAGGAAAGGTAGCAGAACATGACAGTCACTAGTATGGCAATATGTAAATCAATGGATGTGTAATTGATGTGATTCTGCAATCTGTATATGGGCTAAAAATGGGAGTTCATAACCTACTTGAAGCAAAGTGTGAAAGATGATATATCAAGAACTATGCAATGTTTAGAACAACCAACAATAAAAAAAAATAAAATAAAATAAAAAAATCTCTCTCTCTCTCTCTCTCTCTCTCTCACACACACACACACACACACACACACACACACACACAATTTCCCCCTTGGTTTTTGTCTATAGTAAGGAAGGGTCCCTGGATCACCAGGCTTCAAGGTCTTCCAGCCAACAGTGAAGTGGGGGTGGGCCTTCAGAGCTCTGTGTCCCTCCATGGTGACCAAGCAGCTTTTCCCCTCCTCTGTCAGATAAACAAGCTGTGCATTGTTCTGTCCCCTCCGCTGGTCTGCAGGCTTCCCTTCCTGCCAGGCGGGCCAGAATGAGCTTAGGCTCCTTCATGTGGGGCAGGTGGAATGTGCTCTTTGGGGGGAGGCTGGAAGAGTCACAGAAAGTAAACAGAGCTAATCAAGGACACTCTTTTGTGCTTCTCCTTATCCAAACACTTTCAAAAGCAGAAAGAGCCCACACTCCATTATGGCCTAGACTTCTTGCTAAGCACAGCCCCAAGTAACAGGGGTTACATTTTCTTCTTGCCCTGGGTTGTGCAGAGCTCTGGTTCTCTTTCTGATTGTTCTCTCCCAATAAGTGTCTCTTGAGAGGTCCACTGAAAGCCAGGTTCAGAGACAAGTGGTACCATCAGAGGATATCAGGGAAACAGCCAAGAGGAGCTGCTGGAGATTGACTCTTCCAGAGTTGCTCTACCTTCCTCTCCTAACCTCTCAAGGTAACTTTACAAAGACTCTTCTGGGAGTTGATTATGGTGGATCCATCACTTTTGCTGGCATATATCCACCCTCCTCTGTCCCCATGCCAAGTTCTTATCCTTGGAGAGCTTAGGAAAGAGGCAGCTATCCTTACCTTGTCCCCATCATAGGAGGTTATACCTAGTCACGTTGTCTGGAACTCAGTTCTGCTAAGTGGCAGAGTGTTCCTTTTCTCCCCATGCCATCTTCCAGCCTCTTCCCCCAATCCTAAACTGGCCTAACTGCTGCCCAAGATCTCTTTTCTTACACGAAGATTTCTTGAGTATATCCTGTCTGTGCCCACCTGCCTATCACCTCATCTGAAGATTGCCCAAATCTCCCATATTCCCACCCTGCCTTCCCAGAAACTTCCAGTTAAATCTGCTGGATTCTTATTGACACCTTTCACCTCAGGAACTTTTCAGCCAGTTCCATCAACAGGCATATGTTTCCAGGTATTATTTCCTCAGCCTCATCTTGCTACTGACAGGGTCAGACTGCTGTCAAACTCATTGCACTTTATTTTGTTAGGAAATGGGGCTCAGCAAGCCTCATCAGGCATGCACTTGCATGGGTCAGGTGACTGAAAGGATGGAGGAAGGCACTTGGCAATGAGAAGATTAGGGAAGGCTGGGCACCCAGGCCTGGTGATTCTTGAGGGCAAGGCTTATTACTTAGTATGTTGCCACTCTAAATGTGGTTATGGCTGCGGTAGCAGCAGTACCACCACCACCCTGGAGCTCATTAGAAAGTCAGAACCTGAAGCCCAGCCCAGTGGCACACACCTGTAATCCCAGCAACTTGGGAAAGCTGAGGCAGGGGGATTCCAATTTGAGGCCAGCCTCAGCAACTTAGTGAGATCCTATCTCAAAAATAAATAAATAAATAAATAAATAAATAAATAAATAAATAAATGTGCTGGGAATGTAGGTTAGTGGTAGAGTGCCCTGGGTTTAATCCCCAGCACACACACACACACACACACACACACACACAGAGGGCAGAAAAGAGGGGTTGAGGTTAAAAAAAATCAGAGCTTGAGCTCCAGTGCTGAATCAGAATCTGCATTTTAACAAGACACCCAAAGTTTGACAAGTTCCTTCTCCTAAGTGGCCCTTTCTTTTCTATCTCTGGATTGAAGATATCCATTTTCTTACTAAATACAATATCTTGCCCATTGTTATTTTTGGTAGAAGGTAGTATTAATAACAGATACCACTTATTGCGTGCCTGACACATGCCAGGTGTATTTTACACAGGAGGAAATTGAGGTTCTGGGTCATGTCCAAGACCAAACAACTAGTGAATGATGGAGATGAGGCACCAAGCCAGATCCCTATGCCCCCACAAAAACCTCAAAATTTCCTTCATACAGTACTCCTATACAGTTGGTAAAAGTCAACCTAGACTTCCCTATGAGGTCCACAGGGAAGAGAGGAGAAGGGGCCTCCGGACGTGATTTCCCCAGAGAGGAAAGGGCCTAGCATACTTTTTGTCCTGAGGGAGTTTGCGTAAGCCCTCTCAGGGGCCAGAAATTACTGGAATTGGGGCTAGAGGCCAAGGGAAATGGGAGTAGGATCAGAAACTTTATGAAGGGAAAACCCTAACTCTAATTCTCAAAAGAAATTAAATTCTGATGCCTTAGCCTGGATTAAAGGGTGCAATAAACCCATGTGAAGCACTCTGAGTTGTGGCTAGTGTATTGGTCAATGAGAACATAATTTGGAGACCCAGGCTGGGGCTCAGGACTACTGCATCATAGTATGCTGTAGCTGAAAGGGTCATTTGTGATGATTAAGTTCAATGTTTTATTTTTCAGAGAGGAAACAGAAGCCCAGAGAAGGGGGAGTAAGTTGCCAGAGGTCAGAGTCAATTTATGGCAGGCCACAAATACTGACCCCAAATGCCACTATTTCAGCATTGCTAATGGGCACCTTTTCTGGACTTGGAGTCTCTGGTGTGAAATTGAGGTTTTGTTTTGTTTTGTTTTGGGTTTGTTCATACAGAAATGCAGACCCTGTAAATAAGACCCAGAATGATCATAAGGCTTTATATCTCAGCAAGACCTTCACCTTGGAAAGGTTTTAATTCACTTGCTCCCAGCTTTAGACAATCAGCTGTAGTGCCATTTCTTTGGACCTGGAGGCTGCTCAGCTTGGCTGATCTGAGCTTTCCTTTTCTGGGACCCTGAGGACCTACAGAGATGGCTGGGTGGGGTCAACTCAGTCCAGGAAGCTCAGGAATTCTTTTAAGTGTATGTGTCTGGGGTATTTTTCTCTCTCACTTACGTGTATTTTTAAAAATTCTTTTTAGACACCCGCTTTATCTTTCCCAAACATCATTTCCTTGCTCCTTTCCTGAGTTCTAGCAGTGGCTGGGGGCCCAGCTTCCTTATTGGCCTCTGAGCTGTGGAGGGGGTGGGCCAGGGCTCAGAAGAGGTGGGAGTCGGGAACAGGGGGCCTGTTTATGCTGTTGGAACTGCCTTTCATCCTTCCCTTTGCCACCAGGGTTCCTGGCTAGTTCCTGGAGCACTGTCTTCACTCCTATCTAGCTGTTCATACTGCCTTTCGTTCCCTAAGGCTGTGGTCACTTTGAAGCCCAACTAGGCCGATGACCACACATTGCCTTCAGTGCTACTCCTTCCTGTTCTTGCAACTGGGACCTGACTGTGTCTGAGCCCCTTGGACCACACTCAGGAACTTGGGCTGATGGCTCCCCATCCCAGGAGGTCTTAACTGGAAGGCAGATGGGTCCCAGTTAAGGAAGGGACGCCGGCTGCGGGGTTTGTCGTTGAGAGTCTGAGCTAGCTGGATACCTCATTCTCTCCTAAGCCATCTCTCCGCTCTGGGCAACTTCATGGTAGGTACAGCCTATAGCCATGGCTGCCAAGGCCGCCACCCCTCTTCTCTTCTGCTTTCTTTCTTTAATGCCCTTTTCTTTTTGCCTCCTTAAGAAAGGTGTTTTGGTGTAATGAATGATAGAGTGTGTGTTCAATGCTAGTGCCTGAGCCAGCCTTAGGGGAAAGTGTAAGTGCTAGGTCATTGCCCCCATGTGTAGGTCTGGGCTGCATGGTGGGTGGTTGGAATTGTCTTACCTCTCTGCTCATTTCTCATGATCCCCCCTTCCCCACTGCCCAGGAGGGGTGGTTTCCAGTCTAGGACTACTGAGACGTCCCTTTTCTGACTGCTTCTTGAGGGAATGGTTTGGGGCATCCAAGCTTTCTTAGTCAGACCCCTTTGCGGAGGAGGGGTTGTGTGGTATCTTAGTAGGAGCTAGGGGATCTGAGTCTTGATCCCAATTCATCTGGTTACAAGCTCTGTGCTCTTGGAAAATCACTTCAGTTTTATGCATCTCTGTTTCTTCATCTGTTAAATGGGGTAATAATAGTTCTTACCATATAAGGCTAGCATGAGGAATAATCCAGCTAATGTCTTTGTTGTTCCTAGTGCCTGGTACATCATAACTGTTCAGTAAATGACCTCTGTGAGTTTTTTTAAGTTTATAAAATATCTATGTCAGGTACTGATTTCACACCCAGGACTGCAATTAATTCAGACCATAACTCATAAGAAGGAGATGGTCACTTTCCCCATTTTAGGGATAAAGAATCTGTCACTCAGGGACTGGGGTTGTGACTCAATGGTAGAGCACTTGCCTGGCATGTGTGAGGCACTGGGTTTGATTCTCAGCACCACATATAAATAAATAAAATAAAGGTCCATTGACAACTGAAAATATATATAAAAAGAATATCACTCAAGTGGTTAAGGATATGACTTGGGGGTAAAGTGTTTGCGTAGCATGCATGAGGTCCTGGCTGCACTCCTAGCATCCCCTCCCTCAAAAAGAATAATCTGCACCTCAGAGAAATGACTTGTCCAAGGTCACATAGCTAGGATTTGAATATAAGCATGGACTAATTCTAAGCCTAGTCAAATCGGGAATAATAAGCCAAAACCTGACAAAGTTTTCTCTCCTCTCCTAAACTAGGGTTAGAAGGCTCCAATTCCCTCTGTTAGAATTTTCCTTCTCTGAGCTGTTCATTTTCTCCTAGTATCTCCAAAGCCCCTACTATTCCTACTTCTGAAGAAATCCCAAGGTTCCTTTTGTAAGCTACCTTTCAAAGTGTGGCAAGGGAGTGTCATAGCAAAAACTTAGTAGATGATTAAATCGAGGTGCCCTTTGTGGGTGTTCTCTTGAGCTACCAAACAGGACAAGTTTGAGCTAATAACCATTATTATAGTACCTAGTAGTTACTGACCATTTGCTATGGACCAGGCTGTTTCCCATTTGCTTGGAGAATACTCTCTCTAATCTCTCCAGTCACCTATCCAGGTAAGAACTATTTTTCCCTTTCTTAGATCAGAGAACTAAAGCTCAGATGATTCAAGTGATTCACATAGAATCACATATCTCAAATTCTAGAGGTAGGATTTGAATCTAGATCCTTCTCACTTGTTTTTGTCTCCTTGCCTACTAGCTAGATTACTCAGGACAAGCTCCCAGGAAGACATGGCACTTGAGCAGTACCTTGAAGAACAGGTAGGATTTAGGTTAACAAAAAGGAGGGGACACTCTAGGCAGGGGAACGGTCATAGTGATAACTATTATTGTTTGAAGGGCTGGCCAGACCCAGTTCTAAGCACTTGACATACATTTTCTTACTTGATCTTTCAACAACCCCAGCGGGTAGATACTCGTATTTCTACTTTACTGCCAAGTAAACAAGGATTCTGAGAAGTGAAGAAACTTGCCTAATGCCTCAGAAGCTAATCAGTTGGGATTCAAATCAAGGTGGTCCAACTCCTGAATCTGTACTAGATTTTACTAGAAATTTAACATTAAAGGCACAGAGTCAGAAAGGGTGAAGCTGGATACATGGTGTGATTGGAGCAGACATGAAAGGTTGAGCTGGGTGAGTAAAATAGCCTTTGAAAAACTAGTCCAGTTTAAATGTGAGGCAGGACAGTGTAGGAAATAGGGAGCCAGGGAAGATTCTTGAGTAGGAGAATGCCCTTGATTCAGTTGGTGTTCAGTGTAGTATGATCATAAAGCAGCGACCAGAGGTGGAACACGAAGAGAATGGCTGGCAAGCGGATGCAGTAGTTTGAACACAAAATCCTAAGGGCCTGAACTGGAACAGGATGTGGTGGTGGTGGATTCTGGAAGGAGTGGTGCAATTCTGTGTAAGGGTCATAGTGAGAATGGAGAGGGAGAAGGAGGGGGGAGGGGAGGGGCCTTAGAGATACATCATAAAAGAAGACACAGTAGAACTCAGTACGAGGGGTGGACAGTTAGGGAAAAGGAGGTAGGCACATATCCTGGACCCAGAGAAATTTCAGGAATCTAGGATGTGGAAAAAGGGCCCCAAATGGGACAGGTGCCCTGGCCAGTACAGCCTTAGTATCTACAAGCATAGCCCAGAGACCTAGTAGTACACAGGAGCATTACTGGGAGATGCTTGATGAATTTTTATTGACCATCTGACTACAGGATAGTCAAGGTCACTGCTGCTGACCGGTGGCTCTCATCTTTGTTAACCAACTTTCTCTGCCCTTCCTCCTGTACCACCTTCTCTGTGTCTGGCCTGTTAGCACTCAAACCATGTGCCCCCAGTAAGCCCATGCTCCCAGGACTCCCTCTCCAGGCCTTAGCCTTACACTACTTGGATCTTCTGTTTTTCTGCTGTGGGGAGGGACATTTCTAGCTAGGTTGCAATCTTCCACTGCCCTATAAAGTAGAGAGCTGATTTATCCCACTCTATAACAAAGTTGATGAAAACAGGAACGTATATCTTATTTAAATCTGTACCATGAGTGCCTTATATGGAGCCCAGCACAGTGAATGTGAATAAATTAGTAAATAACGAGTGAATAACTTATCAAATAATCTATCATCCTCCCCCTCTCTCTGGTACCTCCTTATTTAACACCTGGTTCTCTTTGTAGTATTCTCTCTACTATGTATTTCTGTATATTCTTTCTCAGAGTTTTCTCCTTTTCTGACATTTGGTTTTCCCCTCTCTCCCCCTTATCTGAAGTATCTTCCTGACTCTTGCTGTATCATTTACTCTTGTGGACTGTCTGTCTGTCTCAGCATTCACACCCCACATATTTTCTTCCCCACTTTCAAGAATGGCATCTATTCATGTGAAGTATGCCAGGAGACAGGGACAGGTCCTGAATAAGCCAGTCAGTGCGAGATTTGTGGCTGTAGCCTCAGGTACCTGGCAAACCCCAGGCTGCACCTGGGGCCTTCGCCTCAGACCTGTTTTCCTTTATTCACTCCTGACAGCTGGGTAGCCAGTCTCCTCTGCCAGCCTAGTGCTGTGCTGTTCACCACTTTGTCCTCCATCCCCTGGCAGGAGTTGGGATTCCCTGCCACCACTTTCCCTACAAATTCAAGTGTCTCAGCTCCATGCACATCTCATCTTTCACTCTCTCAGTGTCTTTACAATGCTTTATTTGACTGAGGTCTGTGTCTCTCACAAATCTATAAGTTCTCAAGGATAAAGAGAACTTTTGTTCATATCTGTACCCTTAGAGCAACATACATGCCACACAGTAAGTAAACATGCAACAGGGCTTATTAAATGAATGAGTAAAAATTAGAGAATCCACAGCGCAGTGTTGATCCATTCAGATCTCAGTCACTTGACTCTTCCTTTCTCAGAGAAAAAGAGAAAGATTGGCCAGATTGATGTTTCCCCTCAAAAAGAAGTGGAGTTTGGCTCACTGTTCATTGGTCACTGGCTCTCATTTAGTCCACAAGTATTTATTGAGCATCTACTATATGCCCAGCACTATGAGACACACTTAGGATATTCCTATGAAGAAAACAGCCCTGTGAAGCTGCCATGCTGTTTCTCCAGGAATCACTCACTGGATAAAGGAGATTTCAGTACTGGGGGCTGAGACGGGCCACTCAGATTCCCACACCAGCTCCTTGCAAGATGTTCTACCTCGCTGAAGGGAAAGAGGGGGTGGGGCGAAAGCTGCCTGGGAAGTGATTTCAGCCCTGGTTCCCTTAGCCAACTTCCTGTCCCTTTCTCACTGCAGGAGAAACGCCCCTGTCAGTAGGCCGCACTCATGGCATGTGGCCAAGCTGCTGGAGGGATGCCCTGAAGCGGCCACCACCATGCATTTCCCTTCTGAAGCCTTCAGCTTGTCCTGGCATTCTGGTTGCAGTACAAGGTGAGTCTAGAGCCCTCCCCTCAAGGTGAACTGGAGTGTGGACAGCCTGGCCACTCCCCCTCCTTTGACCTGGTCCCTCTTGGATGTTTTAGAACCAAGAGTGGTAAAATGGGAAATGGCATGGGAGTCCAGAATACCTGGCTTCTTTTCCCAGTGTTCTGCTAAGTCTCTGTGGCTTTGGGCTCTCCCTTTCCTTCTGGACAGTGTTTCCTTGAAATGCCTCATTTGGCTTGGGAGACACCACATTGTCCTGCTTCTTACCCTATTCACTAGCTGCACTTTCTCAGTCCGTCTCTCTGATTCCTTCCATCTCCCTGCTCTCTTAATGTAGAAGGACCCCACAGTTCTGTTCTGGTGGTCTTCTCTATCTATGATGATGCACTGGGGCTTCCACCCAGTCCATCAGCTGATCATGGGGCCAAAGTCTCCAAAACAGGGACCTCCCTGATAACAGGGCCTACCTGCCTGGAATATCACTCAATACAGGCACCTCAATGTTATCTATTGTTATTGAAACAGCTGCTCAGGACACAGCCAACTTTTTGACCAGCTCAGAGCCAAAGTGTTGCTTTCAACTACTTCTTCCTTTCTGCAACTAAATCTTCCCTCCAAAAAAGAATTTCTGTTGAGGAGGCTCAGAGAAACTAACAGTTTTCCCTGATTCAGTGACTTTATTTGGCATTGGAAGTCAGGGGCTCAGGGCAGAGGCAGGTTTGTTCTAGAATATACCGAAACATATTCTGAGCTTGGCTCCTGTTGGAGTAGGGGTGTGGTTTTGTTCAGCAGGAAGGGTGGTGCAGTGGGCAGCAAGTTCTCTTGCCAACAAGGAATTGATGGATTCCTAGCCCAGAGTACAAGTGAGCAGAGTGACTAAGGGGCAAGGCAGAAAGCAAGAATTAAGAGACACTGACGGAGGCTCTCGTGTGCTGCTGCTCAGCTGTGGCTTTCTGGGCAACAGCATTTCTGATATCAGCCTGCAATCCCTGGGTTCTAGTCAAAGGGGTTACTGGCATGACTTGGCTCTGTTTGGCTAAGTGTTTGGGAAATGGCACTTAAAATTCAAGATCGTGTCTGCTCCTTGATCCCCCTGGTTTGGCTCTGCTGTAAGGGATGAGGGAGTAATGTTTGGGCAGAGGCCACCATGGTATCAATACTGGTAGTAAAGAGGATGCTGATAATAATAACAACAATTGAGACAGTCACTGCCTTGTAGCAAACCCTTGCTAGGCACCTGAGCTGTATTTATTATCTGATTTATTCTATACAGCAACCCACTGATATAGATATTACTCTTATTCCTGTCTAAAAGAGATTATCAGAGAAGATCTCAGACATTGAATTCATAGAGGCCTGCATTCAAATTGCAGCTCTGATTCTTTAAGAGCTTAGTGAACCTCTCTAAGCTTCTGCATTCTCAGTTGTAAAGCAGAGGATAGCAATCTCTTCCATTGGGATTAAATGGACTATTGTAAAGTACCTGGCATATTGTAAGTCCTCAGAAAAGAATGGAGTAGGGCTGTCATTATAGCTTGGTGATAGAGTACTTGCCTAGCATGTGCTAGGCCCTGGGTTTCATCCTTAGCACCTAATAAATAATAATAATAATAATAATAATAATAAATCATAATAATAATAATTGTAGAATAGGGGAATGCCTAATTCCTTCCTGTCTATACCACTAGTTAGAGCTAGGTGATCCTGGCAAAATCACCTCCTCAATAGTACTTTCTTTTGCAGGGCTTGCTTTATAGACATCAGTGGTTCTCAAAAGCATAGGTCTTATACAGCAGCACCTGAGAAATTCTTAGCTCAGAATCCAGCCAGACCTAAAACTCAAGGATGAAGCCCAGTGGCTGGTGTGGTAATAATACCCACCAGGTGATGCTGGTACACATTCAAGTTTGAGAACTGCTGATTTATGAAATGGTCTGACTGAAATTGAATCAGCCCTTTAGGGCCCTTTTTTAATGCTGATATTCCATGAGTGTGTCTCCTGGCAGAGAGCCATATACTGATTCCACAGGGACAGGGACAGCCCAGAAGCAACTCCAAACTTACTCATGGCAAAGAAATAGTGCATAGCCCCCATGTTTTTCTCCCGCTTTTAATCTTAAGGATGTTTGCTCATCTTTCTTCTATATGTCATATTGTCCCCCCAGTTTACCATGTCCCTATGGCACTCCACTATCCATGTTCTTCTGCATTTCACTTTTTGCCTTATCGCCCTTTCATTTGTGACATGGGTAGCTCTGGGATGCCTGCCTTCTTCAATGTCAGGGCTGGCCAAGGTGGGAAAGGGATCTGGTGGCTCGGCTAACTAACCAGTGTACCCTGTGTCTTACAGTGACGTGTGTGTGCAGTGGTGTCCCCTCTCCCGGCACTGTAGCACCGAGAAAAGCAGCTCTATTGGCAGCATGGAGAGCCTGGAGCAACCAGGCCAAGCCACCTATGAGGGCCACCTCTTGCCCATTGACCAGAACATGTACCCCAATCAACGGGACTCAGCCTATAGCTCCTTCTCGGCCAGCTCAAATGCATCTGACTGTGCTCTTTCCCTCAGGCCAGAGGAGCCAACCTCCACAGACTGCATCACACAAGGCCCAGGGCCAAGTAAAGTCCCCAATGTCCGGCCTAATGTGGCTGAAACCTCAGGAGGTAGCCAGCGCACCAACGGGGGCCATTTGACGTCATCTCGCTCACAGGAAGGCCACCACCCAGGGTCTGCCAAGGGGGTCAGGGGCCCACCACAACCTCCAGTGAGGCGGGACAGTCTTCAGGCCTCCAGAGCCCAACTCCTCAATGGAGAGCAGAGCAGGGCTTCTGAGCCTGTGGACTCCTTGCAACAGAAGGAGAAAGTGAATTTAGAGACAATGATGATTCCCAGGAACCCTAACAGGTTCTGCTGCCTCAGTGGACAAGAGCAAATGACAAAGGAGGGCCATCAGAACTGTGAACTCAGCCAGTCTCCCGAAGCCAGCCAGCAGGGCTCTGAACATCTACTGACAGAGGCTGCAGCCAATGTTCTTGGTTCCCCTAAAGCCTGTGAGAAAGCTTCCACCAGAGTTTCTAGCCCACTCAGTGAGGCTTCAGCAGAGCTACCTAAGACTTCCTCCTTTGGCCGCTTTCCACACCTCACAGGACCTACAGGACATCGTCACAGTGCCCCTGAACAGCTGCTGGCATCCCACCTGCAGCATGTGCACCTCGATTCCAGGGACAGCAAAGGGACAGAGCTTCCCACTGGGCAGGATGGACACCAGTGGACTTTGTCCCCTTTGCACAACAGCCGCAAAGGGAAGAAAATTCCATGTTCCCCTCCAGGAGGAACCCAGGACCAGCCCAGCAAAGAAAGAAAGACCAAGCCAATGGAAGATAGGCCTTTGGGTTCAGGACACCAGAGCCAAAGCAGTTCTACACATGGAGAGACTGATGGACACCCTCCAGAACAAGGTTTCCTAGACCCAAGCAGAGCAAGCAAAACAGGCAGTGAATTGGCCAGCCAGCAGCCCTCTGCCTCTGGCTCTCTCGTTCAAACCAGAGATTGTTCTTCAAGTGCTAAAGTAGCTAGCAGCAAAGAGACAACTGAAGAAGGGGATAGTGAGCCCAAAGAATGTGGCCGGGTGGGCGGTAGGCGAAGTGGAGGTCCCCGGGGTCGCTCAATCCAAAATCGGCGGAAAAGTGAGCGCTTCGCTACCAATCTGCGCAATGAAATTCAGAGGAGGAAGGCCCAGCTCCAGAAGAGCAAAGGCCCCTTGTCACAGCTGTGTGACACTAAGGAGCAAGTGGAAGAGACCCAGGAGCCTCCCAAAAGTCCTCCACTCCCTGCCTCTAACTCAGCTCTTCTATCTTCATATAAAAAACCCCCTAGCCCCAGAGATAAGCTCTTCAACAAAAGCATGATACTCAGGGCTCGGTCTTCAGAGTGCCTCAGCCAAGCTCCTGAGAGCCACGAATCTAGGATAGGCCCAGAGGGACAAAAAAGCCCTGGCCAGAGGTCTGGCCAGTCCTCTTTGGGCCTAAACTCCTGGTGGAAAGCCTCTGACACATCCTCAGACTCTGAGAAAGCAAATGCTCATCATGGAGTCCGTGGAGGTGATTGGAGATGGTCTCCAGAGCATAACCTGCAGCCACATGTGGCACTAGCCATGGAAGGCCCTTCCAGCCCAGGTGACAACAAGGAATTGAAGACTTCTCCTGTCCAAGCTGGGGAGGAAGCCATCCTTTTGCCCTTTGCAGACAGAAGAAGGTTCTTTGAAGAGAGCAGCAAATCCTTATCCACATCTCATTTGCCAGGTTTAACCACTCAGAGCAACAAGACTTTTAGCCAGAGACCAAAACCTATAGACCCCAACTTTCAGTCAATGAGCTCCAGCTATCGGGAATTGAGGCGCCATCCCATGGACCAGTCATATCACTCCACAGACCAACCGTATCATGCCACAGACCAACCATTTCATTCCATATCACCCCTTCAGTCAGAAACTCCTACTTACTCAGAATGCTTTTCAAGCAAAGGTCTAGAAAATTCCATGTGTTGTAAGCCACGGCACTGTGGTGATTTTGATTACCACAGGACCTGCTCTTACTCCTGCAGTGTTCAGGGAGCTGTGGTCCATGACCCTTGCATTTATTGTTCTGGGGAAATCTGTCCTGCCTTGCTAAAGAGAAATATGATGTCCAACTGCTACAACTGCAGGTGCCACCACCACCAGTGTATCCGGTGTTCAGCTTGCTATCATAATCCTCAGCACAGTACTCTTGAGGACAGCAGCTTGGCACCTGGCAACGCTTGGAATTCCAGGAAGCCGCCAGTGCAGGTGAGGACCTGGTTCTAGAGTGGGTGAACTTCATTATTGTCTGTGTGAAGAGGAAACTAGAACCTTTTGAAAATATGATAGTTGTAATTCCTGGTAATGAGATAGCCGTTGTTTCCACCAGATGATTGTTTAGTAACATTGAGCAAGACCCTTAGCCACCAACATCTTAACACACCTGCGCATCTTGAGAGTTAGATACAGTAACTTTTGGTTCACAGATGAATAGGACTGGGATTCTATCCTGTGAAATTGGAATCTGGATGACCTTAAGTGAGTCATTCAGCTACCACAATTTGAAGTTTCATATTATTATTATTATTATTATTATTATTATTATGATGATGATGATGATGATGTACCATGGGTCACACCTAGGGGTGCTTAACCACTGAGTCACATCCCCAGCCTTTTTAAATTTTTTTTATTTTGAGACAGGGTCTTGTCAACTGCTCAAGCCTCACTAATTTGCTGAGGCTGGTCTTAAACCTGTTAGCCCCTTGCCTCAGCCTTCTGAGCCACTGGGATTACAGGTGTGCACCACAGAACCTGACTAAGTTTCATGATTTGTTTTAAAAGGGAAAATAATGTTTATTTCCAGTAGTAAGAAAAGTCTTATCACCTCATCTCCAATGTAGAAGAAAATCATGGCTGCCTCATGGATCCATTTTGAGGAGAACCCAAGAGCAGTTTATAGAGTGCTAGGCCCAGAGCATGATACAGAGCAGCATTAACTGCCTTTAATTTCCTATTTTAAAATTATTTGATGCTGCAAAATTGGAGACCCAGGTCCAAACTGTGTCCATTGGAGACCCATGTCTAAACTGGCTGCTGTTCTGCCTTGGTCATGACCTATCACCCTAACACAAGACCTTACCATCCCCTAGGGTTCTTCTGGGAGGACCTCCTAAGTCCTTACCCACCCACTCACTGCCAGATTCCTTCCCCCATGACATCCTTAGTGACACATTTTGGCTGTTAAACCAGAAGTCCATTCCTGTGTCAAATTGTTGTTCATAGCAGATCTTTGAAATTACTTTTAATGTTTGAAAATGCTTAATATGTATTATTTGAAAAAAGGAACTTCAGGAAAGAAAGAAGCCTTATAAAAAAGAGTACAGACCATACAATTTCTTTTATATGAAGTTCTCTGATAGCTGTTCCTAAGGGGAAAATTTCATAGCAGGGCTTAGAAATGGGATATGGCTCAGCAATGGGCTGGAAAAGGGTATGGAAACATGTTCCTAGATAAAGTTTAGAGTTACACAGGTGTATTCACCAAAACTCAAAAAATGTACACTTAATATCTGTGCCTGTCATGGGAAGTAAGTTTTACCTAAAAATATTATAAGTGACTATCAAACTTTAATAAGTATGCTGAAGTGCTTTTGAAGTATAGTGATATATACAAGTCTTTTTTATAGCTTTGAAATCTTAGATATTTTGTTATACCTGTCCCTAAGATGTCATGGTTTCGATGCTACTGTAAACAGTATTGCTTTATTCATGTTGATTGAAAATTCTTTGTCACTACCCTATAGAAATACAATTATTGGTCTTGTGTCCTGCAACCTTGCCAAAGTCACTGATTAATTGTAGTTGCTTTTTGGTAGGTTATAAAATATTTTGTACATAAGCAATCATGTTATCTGTGAATGGAAAGAATGTTATATCGTCCTTTCCAGCGTATGCCCTTTCATGGGGGGGGGGGGGAAGGGAGCCTTATTGCACTGTCAAGACCTCAAATGCAGTGTTTAGAGGAAGTGGCTAGGGCAGACATTGTTGCTTTGTTTTTAATCTTTCAGTGTTAAGTTTAATGTTAGTTATATGCTTTTGTTGTAGATACCTTTATCAGGTTGAGGAAATACCCTCTGATTCTTGGTTTCAGAGGGTCTTTATTAGGAGCAGATGTTGGATATTTTTCAAATGCTTTTTCTGTATCTATTGAGATGACCATATATTTTTTCCTGTTTTGTATACTGGTATGGGTGAATTATGTTGATTGGTTTTTAAAATAGGAACTAATGTAGCATTGCCAGGATAAAATCCACTTGGTCATGATGTAGTATCCTTTTTATATGTCACTAGATTTGATTTGTAGGTATTTTGTTAAAGATTTTTCTGTGTTTATCAGGGATTTTAGACTGATAAACCTTTGTCTGGTCTCTGTATCAAAGTAATGCTGGCCTTAAAGAATGATCTGGGTAGTATTATCTTCCCTTATATTTTCAGAAAGAGTTCATATAAAATTGGTATTATTTCTTCCAGAAATGTCTGGTAGAATTCATCATCAAAGCCATCAGGGCCTGGTGTTGTCTTTGTGGGAAGGTTTTAAGTGACAAATTTAATTTCCTTCACGGATAGAATAGGATCAATTAGGTTGTTTATTTCTTCTTCAGTGTGCTTTGGTAGTTTGTGGCTTTTAAGGAGTGTGTCCATTTCATTTAAGTTTTCAAATTTGGGCGGAATGAAATCGTTGTAACTTACTTTGAAATGTATCAAGAATTTAAGATGGACTGGTGGAAGGATAGAAGAATAAACAGATACAATAAGGCAATTGTAGCAAAATGCTAATTGGAAAATCGAAATGATGAGCATATGGGTGCTCGCTATACACTATAAACTCCTTTCAACTTTTCAAAATATTCACAATGTTGAAAAAAAGGAGAAGAGGAACTAGAAGGGTCCTGAAGCTAGAACCAGATTTCCTGGATTCAAATTCCCTCCCCAGAATTCACAGTGCCTAAATATTCCCATCTCAAAATGGAGTCCATAGCAGCATCTACTTCAGAAGTTGGTGGTGAGGATTAAATGATGTCATGTGTTTAAGGCATTTAGAACAGTGACTGCCAGACAGTGATTAACTTATAAGGCAGCTATTAAGGTAAAGAGAGAGTTTGGATTAGCTTGAGAGATTTTGGCTAAAAGAAGGACTCACAAGTTGATGATAGAGAAAAGGGGCCAAAGACAAGCAGGAAGTGAGGAGATGGTGGCTGTAGAGATGTCAGCTCAAGGCCAGCAACTGTTTAAGGAAAGGAGGTGTAATTGGCAGGTGCAGAATTGGCAGCAGCAATGTAGGTGAGCCTGTGCCTATACCATGCTTTTCCTTTTGTCCTTGGGGGGAGGGACACATTGGGTTTCTAGTGCCTGTTAGACTGGTCAAGCAGGTCTGCTTAGACATTAGCCCTTCAAACACATGGTTGGCTATCTAGGAGTTACTCTGTGCCTATTTCTATCCCTGCCACCTAAACCTTCTACCCCAACCATGCAGGACCTGGGGAGAATTTGCAGCATGAGTTAAGATACTCCAGCTCTGGTGACAAAGGTAATTGTGGTGGCTCTCTCAAGTTAGATCTGACATCCTGCTCCTTCTGCCCCTGGAGAAGATCAGGGTGCTAATCAGCTCTTATTCAGTGTTATTAGGAGAACTGCAAACAGCACACATTCACATCCCACATCTCATGCCAGTTAGTTTTGCATGCATTGAAGATGATTTCACTTAATAGTAGTATGAAATAATTTATAATAGGATCTTAATTTTATGGGAAAGGAAACTGAGGCTCAGAGAGGTCACACATCTCAGAAGTGGAAGAGATGGGATTTGAATGACATAGTAGTAAGTGACATTTGAGAGTCCACTGGGCACCAGATACATCATTCCAGGTGCCCTGGATGTATCAACTCATTGAGTCGTCAAGCAATTAAGAAATAGGTTCTCTTTTGCTACTAGATAGCTGGGGAAATGCAGAGAGAAGTTGAAGTTACCTGGCTAGTGAAGGGCAGGTGTGGATTCTGAAGCCATGCTATCTAGTTTCAGAGGCCAAGTTCCTAAGTATGCCACACTGCCCCTCCATAATCTGATCACATATTACAAGGTATGGACAGGAAGCCCTGCCTCCCACTGTGGCTGAACAAATTGTGGTATCTATTGGCATCTATATGGTATGTATATGGGCATCTCACAAGGTTGTTGAGACACAGTCTAAGGTATAAGTGATTAGAGGCTCTCTGATATCCCAGATATGGGTAAGGACTGCTTTGGTCTTTTAAAAAGCCAGAACCAGGAAACAAACCTCACCTTTATCTGTGGCTACTAACATCCAAAACCTTCTACATGCCAACCACTGTGCTAGGTATTCTCTGTGCTTCTCATTTAATTCTCACTTCTGGCAACCCAGCAAGACTAGATAGCAGAATCCCTATTTGCCAGATAGGAAACTGAGTTCCAGAGAGGTGGCAGAATTTCCCTCAAATATCACTGCTAATAAGTGTCTTAGCCAATATGTCTGACACCAAAGAACTATGTTTGCTCTACTTCACCAGGCATCTGAACCCCAAAAGGGAAGCCTACTTGCGCAAAAGTAATAAAATTTTCAATGGGACTAATAATGATAATGTTGGGAAAAAGGAATTTGTAAGATCAGTGATGTTTAGGGAAAACTGTGCATTCCCATTGAGCAAGCTCTGAGTCTAGGCCCTGGGTCCTGGATACAAAATTTGGACAGGCCTGAAAAGCAATTTTGCATTCTGTTTAGAGTTAGAATAAGACAACAGGGACAATTTTTTTTTTTTTTTTTTTTTTTTTTTTTTTTTTACGAATGGCACCTTATGACTTGGCCTGGGAGGAAAAGAGCTGCTTGGTCATAACCCTTAAGAAAAAAAAGTCCAGTGTAGAAACTATTCCTGTAGAGTTGGGACTATGGCATCTGACATTTATGTTCCCCACAGATGAGCCAACCTCAGTTCCTGCCATTGGGTGAGCAGAGGAAGAAGAGCCCCTGCAGGACAGGGGTGTACTGGCATGCCTGCCTCCCTCTGCCCACCCTGGGGGAGGGTTGGTGCAGCAGGAGCTCCCACCCTCAAAGCCCACTCAAGGCCAGAGCTTCCAAGAAGATGATTTCTGTATTGGAAGAGGCAGGAGGAGCAAGCAGGTTCATCTAGGAGAATAAACAAAAAGACCTCCATCCCTCAATGCTGGCAAGAGCCAGAGCAAACAGCAAACATGCTAAACTGGTTTTTAAGGTGGTTTGGGAGGGAGTGCAGAAAGAGGGAAATGCAGTATTTCTAGACTACAGCGTCCAGGTCCCTGAGTGCTCTCTGAGTCTCTGCATGCCTGCAGCAGCTCAGCAGGCCTCCTGATAGAAAGGCAGCCTTCCAGGTACATATTTCAGTAGCCTGCCTAGGACTGTAGATGGTACCAACTGTGGTGACCTGGCCAGGGACAGGGTCCTGACCACCTCACTGTTTTGAAACCATCTAGCTACCTGGCTGTTCAGAGTTCCTTAACTTATCAGAATTTTGCTTTGCAGGAATTTCCTGGGGACAAATGGAAATCAATAACAGGAAACAGAAAGACCAGCCAGTCAGGGAGGTAAGTGACCTCTTAGGGATTTGGGATGAGTTAGTGCCTCTGAGGCTTCAATAGAAATTGCTAAGATCTTCATTCATTGTGCTTAGTTTCCTTTGAGGAAACTGGTCTGGTATCCACACCAAGAAATTGGTGCCAGAGATGTAATCCAGCCTGCCCCCCGACCCCCTGATAGCTGGATATAGAACTGATTGTGTGCTAGAACATTTTGGAATACAGAGGAGTCAGGTAGTATATTGTGAGGCATTATGCCCATTAGCTTAAAGGCCTGAGGCAGCCCTCACCATGTCCAAGGATATTTGGGACAAAACTGCTGAAAGAAATGTGAAGGCATAAATTGTGCCTGCCTTGCCATTGGCCGTGGGGCAGTTGGAACAGGCAGGGAGGAGGGAGGACTGTCTAGGTACTGTGGTGCCTTTGCCCCAGAGTTGTTTGGGGCACCTGTTTCTTGGGTTCTGCCACCTTTCTTTTAATGGGACTCATTGAAAACTTAAGGTCTGCTTATTAAAAGTCTGGGGCCTGATCATGTGGACTGTAGGTTATAATTCCTGGAGGAAGACAGGGATATTTTTTATGAATGGTGCATGTGGTTTGGGATAAGGAGAAAAGAGCTGCTTTCCCTTAAGGAAAAAAATACCCAGTGTGGAAAGTCTACCACTGTAACATGGGGCTCATGGCACTGGGCACTCATGTTCCTTAGAGATGAGGTGCCCTAAGTGACTGCCCTAAGTCACTATGAGATACAGAAAGTTGCCATCTCCTGGCTAAAGCTCTTTTAGGTAAAAATTTCACATATTCTTTCAGCCAGTTTTTTCTCAACTGAAATGATACAACGGGCACTTAAATTGTATTGATTCTTAACTCAAACTCCAAAATAAACAAGAGTACAAGCTGTGCTCTGTTCTCCAAGGTGAAGGTACCAAGAGAGAGGACTAGAATCTAAGGCTTCTGATCCCTGAAGAGTCTAGAGTTCATTCTAGGTGTCTGTATTATTCCCTGTGATTTGATGGCATGGTCAGGAATTATTTTGCTTTTTCTTTGACTGGGAAACCTGTTCATTTTCTGGTTGGCAATGGGAAATTGGGGAATCCAATATATGTGGATCATCTACTAAGCACAAAGCATTGGACTGAATCTTTTGACAACCATAGTTTCTTTTGTTGCCCATTTTGTAAGTGAGATCCAGAGAAAAGTCATATAACTTAGCTGAGGTTACAGAGCTAGCAAGTGATGGAACTAGATTTCGAACAAATGTTTGTATGGCCCCAAACTCATGCTTTTTTCCATTCTGCCTGCTTCAATTAGGACCCCTAAGAAAACCTTTCAAACATATCCCTGGTATCATGTCTCAGGGGTCTAGGTCTTGGGTGGGGATTCTATGGGATTTGGGGGGATACCCTTGATTCCCCAGCTCTAGGCTGACTTGTACCATGTCCTTGTGGAAATCACTTCAATCTAGCAAGCCTGCCAAGATTCCTATATTAAACTGAGACCCTTGAGAGGGAAGACCATGTCTTAGATATGGACATAACCACATTCTCCGTGTCTGACAATAATGCTAACATTTCTTAAATTCCGTTCTTTGTTCTAGGCGCCATTCAAAGCATTTTACCAGTATTTATCACTCTGACCTTATGGGGTAGGTACTTAGTAGTTTCTCCTTTTGACATAACAAAGTAAGTCCCACAGCTAGTAAGTTGACTAGATCCAGTCAGTCTAGCTTCAGAGACACTATAGTGCATGACAGTAATTCTCTGAAATGGTTCTCTTGCTGCCTAGTGAAATGAAGTAAGAGGACTTTATTTAAAACCTGCCGTATGTACTGAATTTTGGTAGGCAAGGTGGGAAATACTAGTGAAAGAGCAGCAAGACACACAGGACCTGCTCACAGCTTCAGCAAGGAAGACCAATCCACTGAAAGTTCAACAGCAATGATAATAATATATTACCACTTGCAAAACGACCTATGTGCCATGAACTGAGTTACACATGTTATGTAATGTTTTATGTTCCCTACAATTCTTCCAGGTAGGTATTATTATACTATGACAGCGAGCCCCAGACTTCAGACTATGAAACAGAAAACACCTGGGGAGTTTGATGAATGATGATGGGGAGTTGGGCTGGGGTTGTGACTTAGTGGTAGAGTGCTTGCTTAGCACATGTGAGACACTGGGTTTGATCCTCAGCACCACATGAAATAAATAAGTAAAGGTATTATGTCCGTCTACAACTAAAAATATTTTTTTAAAAAAGAAAAACAGGGAGCTAGTTGGAAATCACCCTCAGGGAGTTTGATTCAGCAGGTGGGGAGTGAGGCTCAATATTTCCTTTTCTAACAAGCTCTCTGGGTGATGCTGATGCAGCTGGTCCTGGGATCACACTTTGAGAAATACTAACTCAGATGAAGAAGCTGAAGTTCAGGGAGGCTAAGTAATTTACTCAATGTCTCACAGGCAGGAAAGAGGCAAGCCCATACTTAAGCCCAGATTTTACTTACACAATTGACAGAAGATAAAGCCTTGTAAAATACAGGGTTTCAACAAGATGCTCCTGGCACATGTTAAAGGGTCAGTACATGATAAGTATTATTGTGCCTTGTGTAAATTCACTGTAAGGCCAAGAAACTGAAGGTTGGGAACTACAGGATGAAAGGCCCATAGAGAATACTAAAGCAGAGTATGTTGGAAGAATCAACATCACTGGTTGAGTTTTGGCCTTCAGTTAGTCCTACCTGAGTTCAAATCCAAGCTCTTCTAATTACTAGCCATGTGGCCTTGACAAGTGCCTCCCCTCCCCTCCCAGTCTCTTTTTTCCCTCCTTTCCTCCCTCCTTCTTCTCTCTCTCTATATATCTCTTTCTCCCCTCATTTGCAAAATGGGGTAAGAGTACCTATAATCAAATGATTGTTGAGTCTTAAATGAGTTTATATATGTAAACTCTTGAGAACAAAACCTGGCACTTGAGACCCTCAGCAAGTTTTAGTTGTGATACTAAGGAGAAGGAAGAGGAACTTCAGCAGCAATAAGATAAGAAAGGTGACTAGTAAAGCCTTGGACCAGAAGGGGTAGGCCTTCAGAACTGGATAGGATCACAAACATGGGCGCAATTAAAGATCACCGATCAACAAATAGTGCTAAGATAGAGTTAGATAGGAGTAAGAAACTCTGGGGTACTATTGCACCATATGGTGATTACAGATAAACATAATGAATGTGCATTTCAAGAAGCTACAAGAAAGGATTTGGAAGGTTTTCATTATAAAGAACTGATAAATGTTTAAGGAAATAGCTACGTTTAACATGATTTCAACAGTATGCAATGCGTATGTGCATCAAACATTGCATGGAGCACATTAATATGTACTTTTATGTTTTTATGTATCAGATTAAAAAATAAATTGAGAGACTGAGGCTGTAGCTCAGTGGTAGAGCACTTGCCTGTCACACAAGAGGCCCTGGGTTTGATCCCCAGCACTAGAAAAAATTTAATGAATTAAAATTAATTAGAAGATCAACAATCAGGTAAGTGAGTTCATAAATGTGGTACCTTAGGGAACTTGGCAGTATTTGCAGCCTAGATGACTTGAAGTGAGACCAGTTGTGGCAGTGATACAGGCATGGAGGAGTGTGGCATGGCCTAGACTGGGGAAGTACAGATACAATAGAAACGGAGCAGAAGACATAGATAAATATGTGAGATATTTGGGGAGAAAAAGTTTGTTTTGATGAAAACAATATTACAGGAAATTAAAAACAGAAGAATAAGGAGACTTGTTCCTACCACCTTAGCACTCTGAATATTTTCATTTCCCTGCCTGCATCATCTATAGGTATGGAGATTATTTTTGGCATGGTTATAATAACTATGTAGATGTGCTTTCCTGTGTCCTGATTTCCCCGACCAAACTGCATTATGCAGTATGGCAAACAATTTTTCATGCTGCTATACAGACTCCCTCAATATTAGTGGCTATATAATATTTCACCAGCTTAATGTGTTCTAATTTGCTTAATCATTCCTAAATTGTTGGGTAATTAGGTTGTTTCCAATATCTTGCTATTATAATGTAATGCTGCAGAAACATTTTGAATAGCAATAGCCTTTTTCTCATTTTGAATTATCTCATTAAAAACAATTATCTGGAGTTGGGATTACTAGTTCAAAGAATATGAACATTCTTATAGTTCTTTGTAGATTTCACCAAATTGCTTTCCCCCGGAAGGGTTTTTACACTGCCATTAGCAATATATGAGGATAAGTTTACCCTAAATTTTGCCATCATTGAAAATTTTCTTTTTGTAATGCAATAGGTGTAAATGGTACCTATTACTATTTTAATTTACTTACTTTGATCATTCTACTTTGAACATTTTTCATGTGTTTAATATTAGTATTGCTTTTCCTGTGAATTGTCTGTTCAGATTACTTACTCACAAATGTGTAATATCTTTTGAGAGATAAATAGAGAAAAACTTGGTGACTAGAGCTTGGGAGGAAAGAGGAGATAAGTCCAAAATAACTCTGATCTTTGGTGACTTAGAGAAAGTTGCTAACATATATAGGGCAATCAAGAAATGGGAGCTAGTTTGGTGGGGAAAATAAGTTAGAAATGGCATATGTTGTAGTTGAAGTTAGTAAGATATACAAGTGAGTTCTTTTTGGGGGGTGGGTAGTCAGCAGGTAGGATGAGGGAGACAAGCCAGACAAGGAAACTGAAGGGTCAAGCAGTAGAAGTAGTAGAAAGAGAAATCTGTGAATGTACTATCATCATAGAACATAGAGATGACCATTAATAGTTTTGACAGTATGAAATCACAAGTGATTTTCTTTAATTTTTTAAAAATTTTAATTTGTTATATATGACAACAGGATGCATTAAAATTCATATTACACATATAGAGCACAATTTTTCATATCTCTGGTTGTATACAAAGTAGAGTCACACCATTCCTGTCTTCATACATGTACTAAGGGTAATGATGACCATTGCATTTCACCCT